AGCTCTCTCCTGTATGATGGGCGTGTGGGCCTGAAGCTGCGGCTGGTAAAAATGGACGAGGCACATGTAAGGAGCCGTTGCTCCCCCCTTGTGTCCGGGAGGGAGGGAGAGAGAGAGGGAGGGAGGGAGAGAGGGAGGGAGGGAGGAGGAGGAGGAGGAGGAGGAGCAGCAGCAGCAGCAGCAGTACCTGCCATCTTCAGCGAGTGTTTGAGGAAGGGAGCAAAAATCTCCCGGGTAAACAACAGCAGAATGAAGAACCTTGAGAACAACGTTCAGCTCCTTTCCCCTCCCCATGTCCTTCCTCCATCCACTCTTCTACTCTCTCTCTTCTCAACGCCACAATCGCCAACAGCATCTTCTCTTCCTCGAACTTCTCCTACTCCTCCTTCTACTCCTCCTCCCTTGTCCTCTCGCTTCTGCTGCTCCTCCTCTCCACTACTACCACGACTTCCTCCTCCTCCTCCCTCACCTTGTCTGCCTTCAACAGTCCTGTCTTGGGCAGAACATCGTACTTGACGTTGGTGTTCCTGCGAGAAAAATCAGACCACGCTTACACGAAATGTTTCCCTCCTCCGCCACTTCCTGCTCCTGCTCCTGCTCCTGCTCCTCCTGCTCCTCCTGCTCCTCCTGCTCCTCCTGCTCCTCCTACTCCTCCTACTCCTCCTACTCCCTCCTCTTTCTCCTCCTTACCTCGGTGCTCTCACTATCGCGTGACAAACAGTAGGAGCGCTGTCACCGATGTGAAGTCTCTTCATCTTGGGGAAGCAACCTGCTCCTCGTCCTCGTCCTCGTCCCCGTCCTCGTCCTCGTCCTTATCCTCGTCCCCGTCCCCGTCCCCGTCCTCGTCCTCGTCCTCGTCCTCGTCCTCGTCCTCGTCTCCCTCTCTTTCTTGTTTTCTTCCATGTCTTCCTTCTGGTCCTATCCCTGGTCCTCCTCTGCACCTGTTTCTTTTCTTGTTCCTCCTCCTTCTCCTCCAATCACCACTACCACCACCACTGCCTCCTCTTCGTCTTTCTCCTCCTTTTCCTCCTCCTTCTCCTAGTTTTCCTCCCTCCCTCCCCCTCCCCTCCTCCCCCCCTCCTCCTCCTCCTCCCTCCTCTGCATCTTTCTCCTCTGCTTCTCATGTATCTCTCCTTACCGATCGTTCCCGTCGACATGAAAGCAGCTTGAGCAGCCTCCAACAGCTGCAAGACAAGTCAGCCTCATCCTCCTCCCTCCCGCCTCCTCCCCGTCCTCCAATCCTCTTGCTGCTCAACCTCTCCCTCCGGCTCCTCCTTTCTTCTCTCAGCTCCTGCTCCTGCCCCTTCCTGTCTTGCTGCTGCTATTCCTCCCCTCCTTTATTTCTCCTCTCTTCTCCTCCTCTTCCCGTCCTTCTCCTCTCCTCTCTCTCATTTTCCTTCTCCTCCTTTTCCTCTTCTTCCCTTCAGTCTTTGCCTTCAATTTCTCACCTTGAGAGCTCCAGCCTTGTCCACCCAGCCCTTAATGATGGCGAACTTGGTCTTCTTGCGAGGATGGAAAGCTGACAGAGCGTGAGAAGAAGAGATGAGGAGAGAGGAGGAGCGAGGAGGAGAACGAGAGGACAAGAGAGGACGAGAGAGGAAAAGAGGAGAGAGAAGGAGCACGAGAGGAGAAGAGATGAGGAGGGAGAGTGGAGAAGAAGAGAGGAGAGAGGGAAAGGAGGAGGAAAGGAGGATTGTGTGGGAGAGAGGAAAAGAGAGGAGAAGAGCGGAGAAGAGATGAGGAGTGGAAGAGAGGGGAGGAGAGAGGAGAAGAGTGGAGGGCAAGAAGAGAGAAGGAGTGGGGAGGAGAGGGGTGGAGAGGGGAGGAGAGGGGAGGGGAGGAGAGGGGAGGAGAGGAGAGGGGAGGAGAGGTCATACATCCAAGAGGAGGAGCAAGCGGAGCCTCTCCAGGACGAACTTGCGGGCTGAATTACGAGTGAATGAGAAAAGAAAAAACGTCGGATCGTATCATCAGTACAATTATCATCAATGACAGCAATAACAAAGACGAAAGAAATGATTATCGTCATCATCATCATCATCTCTATCATCATCATAATCATTTCCATCATCATTTCCATCATCTCCATCTCAATTATCATCATCATCGTCATCTCAAGTATCATCATTATCGTCATCATCATCATCATCATCATCATCTTCATCATCTTCATCATCATCACAATAATACTCTCCATAATCTCCATAATCATCATTTTCATAAGCAGCATTAACAGCATGCACCTGCACAAGGGGCTGACGATGGCCGGCTTGTTCTCCAGCTCCTTGTACGTCTCAAAGAACTGAAGTGAATGTAAGACAAGACAAAGACAAGAAACAAGAGAACAACTGCAGAAGAGCAGAAAGAAGGAAGAATAAGGATAGAAGACAAGATGAGGAAGGAAACGGCAGAAGCAGCAGAAGCAGCAGCAGGAGGCGTTGAAAGAGCATAAGGAGCAGGAGGGTAAAGGCAGCAGCAGCAGCAGCAGCAGCATCTCCACCACCACCACCACCAGCACCAGCAGCACCAGCACCAGCACCAGCACCACCAGCACCACCACCAGCACCACCACCACCAGCAATAGACCTGAGCAATCTCCCTCTTGATGTGCTCCTCAACATCCCCAAGGTCTTGAATCTCATTCCAACTGCAACAGAGTGAGAAACGAAAAGAGGAAAACAGAAGAGATTGAGATGATTTTACCACCACCACCATCATCATCGTCATCATCATCTCCATCATCATCTCCGTCATCACCACCATCTCCAATCATCTCCATCTCCATCTCCATCTCCATCTCCATCTCCATCTCCATCTCCATCTCCATCTCCATCTCCATCTCCATCTCCATCTCCATCATTGCATAATATTCATCATCATCATCGTCATCATTCTCATCATACCGAGGATCCGAGTCAACAACTGCGAGCAGCTTTTGATCTTCGCCCTTCTCATCCGCCATGTCAAGAGCGCCGACCTGAAACGTTCATGAGAACAAGAAAGAAGCAGGACAGGACAGGGCAGGGCAGGGCAGGGCAGGGCAGGGCAGGGCAGGGCAGGGCAGGGCAGGGCAGGGCAGGGCAGATGTAGAGGTAGAGGTAGAGGTAGAGGTAGAGGTAGAGGAAGAGGAGGAGACTCACCACGCGAACGTCGCAAAGAACTCCTGGAGTGAGAGAAAAGTTGGAGAGAATCTGAAGAAAGAATGAGATAACATAATGCAAAAGAATCATACGAACACAAGTGAAGGAGAAACAATACAAGAAGCGGCATGCAACAACGACATCATTATCTTCAATTCGATCATCATCATTATCTCCATCGTCATCATCATCATCTCCATCATCATCATCATCTCCATCATCATCATCATCATCATCATCATCATCATCATCATCATCCTCATCATCATCATCATCGCAATCATCATATCATCATATCATCATCATATCATCATCATCATCATCATCATCATCATCATCATCATCATCATCATCATCATCATCATCATCATCATCATCATCATCATCAT